CACTTCCCACCAAGCAAAATCGCGTAGTAATTTTCAGGAATTTAATTCCTCAGGACTCCGGGTTGTTCACAGCACCTTCGGCGTTTCAGTCTTTCTTTGGGCAAGCATTCAGTTCTGTAATCCGTTATAGATCACTGAAAGTCATTTTATCTCGGTTTTACTTAGTATGCCACTTTAGGCTTATGCGCGGTGTAGATCATTGTCCTACCAACGACTACTATTTTGGATCTTTTTAGCCGGCTTATACGTCATTTTTGGTTATTTTCTGGCCATTAGTTAAGGTTATGTTAGGTTTATTTTTTAGGTCATTTTAGGTCATTGTGCACATCAGTCAAGGTCATTTTAGGTTATTACTTGTTTTCGTAAGTACGGTTTTAAAAAGATTGTGAACAGCCTGCTTTCCTATCTATTAACGTGTTTGATAAACAAATTACGGCGGCTGAAATTATATGTCCTCAAAGGAGAGAAGTCGTTGTTAGCGGAAATGGTAATTGTTTTTACCCAACTGTTGGTCTTTGAAGAAATGAAACAAGCGATGAGAAACACGAGGAAATCAGTAGGTGGAGTTCCAGTTTGTTTCAGAAAAATCCAAAGGTTTTTGAGCGCCACTCTTCGCTATTTTCAACTACAAAGCCAGTCACTGTTCTTCGGCTGAGCTAACTGACTAATCATCTGATCATGGTAGTACACTGTTGCTGCACAATCCCTTCTAATGCTACATTCAGTTGCCAACGAATCCCACGGAATCGCCTTTAGTTGTTTTGCTTGGACAATATTTTTACTAGACTAAAAATCCATCATGAGTCCCTTTCTAATAATACAGGCCTTTTTTGGTTGGTATTCAAATTAAACTTTTTCCAAATTTCTTTTACTCTGTGCACAATACTTTGGCGTACGCAACTGTTCGCGCCAGAGAAATTTTTCCCCACAAATGTAAATCTGAGGGTCATAATGGGGTTAACCGCTAGTCGTAAAACAGCCATAGGTTTTAACAGTTAGGCGTTAAAATTGACAAATTTTAATCGTCAGTCGTGAAAAAAAGTAAAACAGTAAAAATCCAATAATATTGATAGATCCTCCTAAGAGCTCTCATCCCGCTCCAGCAACATTTAAAAAAGACAACAAAGCGAGAAGCAAATCGGATCTGGTTCATTGTGACATGATGGCTTATCTGATGAAAGATGTCAAGGCTGTAGTTGGAACTGAGGCACCTCACAAATATGTATTGAGTGTTAGGTTGTGTTAAAGAGTTGGACTATGTACTTCATTCATGGTTATTATCAACTGTTACGTTGAGAACTAAAGCTGTGCTATTCAAAGATTCTTTCCTCGTTCAGGTGTTAATTATACTTGTATATTTCATGTTATTATAAGTTAATTAAACAAAGTTGTGGGTTGCAGAATTTGATTAAACAGACAAAAAGCGTTTGCTTAGATGTGCAATTCATGTCAGCACTGATAACGAAATCAGTGGCCTTCAAATTTTCCCACTGTAACCGAAAGTTACACGGTGGCTTTCAATGCCAATGTAGGAGTTCTGATCAAAATTGGTTGCCCAATGGAGATATTGTTGCTTCGAATGCCTCAAATTTTGGACTTTGTCAAAACCAGGTTAAGTTCCCTTTACTTTAGGGCGAGGATAGGGAAGAAATGAAATGGACAAGTTAAAACAATTCAATGTTCCTGAAGTCTGATAGATATAGAATATAGCCCAGTGAATTGAATTTACAGATGGCATTTATGTCTGTCACAGTAACTTGTATTTCATTGTGCAAAAAATACAGGAAATGGATATTTTCCCAAGGGAAACCCACATTGATATATCAACCCACCCGATTCCGCCTGGTTTTCTCGTACACGTTAAGAAAGTTTTCAGTATTAAGCTGGGAAAAAGAGCAATCAATGAAAAACAGAGATGCATCAAATTTATTTAACAATAATAGTTACATTATAATGATCTTAAAATTGTGACAATGGCGTGCTGTGCAAGTTCATTTTTGAGAATGCAAAGTTTTCAGATTTATAATGGCAGAGTACTAGAATTGAAATATTATTGTGAAGAAACTCTTGAGTGACGTGCAGCAATGATACAAAGTTTTTGGAATAAAAATGAAGTGAGAAGCAGAAAATTGATTATAAATTTGACAAAGAATTAGGAATATCTGTCATTTGAATTCAAGTAGATCAAAAGAGCTACATTATATGTTACATTGGGAAAGAATATAGACATGAAAATAATCCTAAAATGATAACCATGACGTACTGAAATAATTCAAAACAGATACGGTTTGAAAGCTTACTTTTCAAAGGTTGTCAGTATAAATCTGAGAAAATCAGACATTAAAGGAAACACTTGCAAAATGAATGAAATTCAGCAGAGTTAAAGAAAATTTGGTAAACTTTCCACACAGCCCCATAATATTGTAAAACAAATCTGTTTTCGCAATGGCGATGTATCGTTTTTGTCACTGTTTTCTCTATCCAAGAACTGAATGCATGATGTCGTATGGGGCTGTGCAGAAATTGTACCGAAAATTTTTTAGTACAAAACAATGACATCTCAATGAAACGAGAGTAGAAGCTGAAACGGTAATAATAATTTAACAAGGGAAAAAAACTACAGATATGAAAATAATACTAAATGATAACCATGAAGTGCTGCAATAATTCAGAACACATAAGGTTTGAAAATTTATTAAAAGAAGGTTGTGAGTATAATTCTGAGAAAAAAAATGTTAATATCAGACATTCAAATAAACACTTGCAAAATAAATGAAATTCAGCTCGGCTTTGTTGTCAGAAGATTCTAGCGCCAGACCCTATCAAATGTGTGGCCAAATATTGACTTTCCCAGAGAAGAAGGACTTGATGCACAACATGGTGACCTCATCCAACAAAATCAGCTGCATGTCAACGCACTGGGCGACCACCACAAGTCAACCCAACCAGACTGAAAAAAAAAAAGTATTCACTGGCTCCTCTCAATCACATGCACGAGGGTCACTGTTCCTACTTCACCATTTTAAGAAAGGCAGCAATTAGCTCGACCATTATCCTGCCTCTTCCGCCAAATTAGCCATTTGACCAGATTACCTCGACTAACACGACGAAATTGGCCGCTTCATCCAACACGACTGACGGAACTGCTAAAACACTTCTAAAGCCAGTGGAGCTCATTACCAGAAATCACGGACATTTTGCCCAGATGCCACAGTGGATTTGGACCCTTCGCGGATTTGGATCCCCCTTCGCAGATTTGGACTCCCCTACCAAACTTTCCTTTTGAGCACCGTTTGTATCGTATTTGGTAACTAATTCTATTTGCAAGCTTTTTGTCGATGTTCTTTTCAATCACAACACAAAATTCCTCAATAAAGGTAAAGAAAAACAGCCATTTCGTTCCAATTCTGCCGCATTTATTATAGCGAGTCGTTCAGTATACGCAAGAATTTGATGCGAACAAACTACTGCATTCGAACTATTGAAATTGTTACAATGAATCTTTGCTTCTTCTGATACGAATGGACACTGAAACCAAACGTCATAACAATAGTGGAGACTATTGCGTCCACTCACAAAATAACTCTCTCTGATTTTCTAAAATAATAACATCAAACAGTTTCTGAACAAGAACGAAGAAACTACTCCTACTACAAGTCGTTTTTACAGCCTATGATAAGTAAAAATGTTTCTGACTGAAAGACTGCTTTCAGAGCGAAAAAGCGGCAAAGTTATTACTTAATGCCTCTTTAAAAGCTGCTATTCCAAGGCTTGTCTTTAGCCGACCGTTTCGCTTCTTATTTATTTTCTCATAGGAGATAGAGTACCTTATCAAGTGGAAAGGATGGCTCATGTCATCATGTACTTGGAAGCCTGCCCTCCATCTACCTAAAGAGCTTATCAAGTGCGATTAATTATTACCGCAACAACATAATTTTTTTAGTTCATGCCAAAATGTAACGAAAGCTTAAAAAAGTTGAAGTAAATCTAGTGCCTTTAGAGCGAGACAGCCTTTTTAGTTAACTTACAATATTTAAAATACCTTGTCTTTATTATAAGAATAATTAACATAAGCTGAAAAATTTATAACCCATTTGTTAAGATTGTTTTAAACGATTTGTTTTTGTCCTAATAAATCTGTTTTCTGAATCTCTTCTAGACTTTATAAAAAGCCTCCACAGCCCTCAGAAAGTGAAATTGCTTCAGCATCGAATGGCTTTTATCTGGCAGTCAAGTTAAAATCAAATGTTGTCAAAGTGCAGCACACTTCCACAGTTAACATAGGGCATGATGTCTATCGATATTTTTTTTAAATACAAAGGAATATCATCAAGGGACTCTAAATACACCATGCTCAGCTGAAAGGATTTTAACAAGTTGTCACTACCCTATCATTGGTGTCATTGGACTCTCATGGCTGAAGTGTGGACGTCTTGTATTCTGCAGCAAACACCTTTATTGATATCTGGCGAGCTATACCAGCAACTTAACTACTCGCTACATCTAGTTACAAGCTCGGCTTTTATAGGTACGGTTGAGGATCTAGAACGTTCCGTAACATTACAATAGATTCTCTTTATATATTGATTCAGGGATGACTCAGCACGACACAGCTGCTTCTAAAACATTCTTGACGGTCACACTGCATTCTCACTTCTTTACAAAGACTGACGAACAATTCATTAAGGAAATCACGAGAAATCATATTGCCTATTGCAGTCTATTAAATGTCTCTAAGGTTATTTAAACAGAACAAAGTCTCTATACTTTGAGTGTGGCTTGACTTGACTCTGTGATCTTCTTACGCCTCGTCGAATCGATACTGGTTCTGATTTTGATTTATTTTTTGTTACTCAACTGCATTTGTCCTGTTTCATTGTTGACTCCAAGTAATTCTATGGACTTTGGCTGTGGGGCAGTTGGCAAGGCTGCATCTGACTGTGTGGGTGGGCCCACAGGAAAGTCTAAAGAAGGGTTTGTAACAACGACTTTGGGCGTTGTCATTTCTCTAGTTTTCCTGATGTGACACCGATTCCTCCGGTACTCACGGCATCGGCCTTCACTATGTAGGATCTGTCAGATTCTCTTCTGACCACACTTCCTTGTGTCCACAGGGGCGACGACTGAGGCCTGATCTTGGCGCGAATACTATCTCCTACAACAAGAGGGGGTAGTGGCTTTGCTTTCTTATCATGGTATCTCTTGTTCTGTTGCTTCTTCTTGACTGAAGCTCGTATGATGCTCGAGGTTGGTATCACGTGGGGTTTAAGTAACTCTGATTTCACTGGTATAACTGTTCTTGTTCTTCTGGAATCCAATTTCTCATTTGGTGATGCCAATTCATCTGGTGTATTTCTATGTTCCAAAATAGCCATCCAGGGTCACGACTCATCTTGAGTATCCTCTTAGCTTGTTTGACTGCAGCTTCCGCTGTACCGTTTCCTTTTGGATGGTGTGGTGAAGATGTATAGTGATGAAAGTTCCAACTCTCTGAAAACTCCTTAAATTCCTTGCTAACATTTTTAGGACCATTGTCTGATATCACCACCTCAGGGACTTGCAGCTGGGTGAAAATCTTCTTCATCTGGAAGATTGGGGACTCAGCATGAGTATCATTCAGTTGCTCTAAGTCCCAGTATTTTGTGAGATTATCCACAACTACCAAGTACACGTCTTTCTTCACATTGAAAAGATCAGCACTGACTATTTGCCATCTTCTCTTTGGAATAGGCTGCCTCTGCATGGTTTCTCTAGGTTGATATGGCTTAGCTTCCTGACATATGTTACAGTCATCGCAGAGATATTTGATATCATGATGAATCGATGGCCAATACAATGTATCTCTCGCTTGTCTCATGCATGCCTCTGCTCTTAGGTGAGCGGAGTGTGTTTTTTCTAACATCTGTGGGCGCATAGCCGTGGGAATGAGCTCTCTCGTTCCCCTGTAGATTATTCCATCCTGAACTGCTAGTTCATCTCTATTCGGTCAGTAGTTTTGAACATTGGGCGGTACTTGCGTCTGGTCCTCAGGCCATCCATTAGCTATAATTTCAGCTAAGGTTATGAGATTTCCATCTTTTGAGGTTGCTGTTGCTACTTTCTGAAGGATTGCATCTGTCATGTTATGAAAGATATTTGGATCTGTTCTTTTGATCTCTTTCATGAGAAGTTCTTCTGGGTGAATTGTAAAGACTTCCTAATCACCTATTTCCTTCTTTTGCGTTCGGTCGTTTGGGAGGGTATCCTTGACAGATGATCACTTATGTACATCTGAGTTCCCTTTTTGTACACAATATTCAGGCTGTACTTTTGCAGTCGTAGCATCATGCGTTGTAACCTCTTGGACGCGCTGTTGATACTTTTGGTAAGTATGGTTTCTAGAGGCCTATGATCTGTGACTGCTGTAATCTTTTCTCTTCCATGGAGATAGTGGTTTAATCGTGTACAACCAAACACCAGTGCAAGGCATTCCTTCTCCATCTTAGAGTAACGTCTCCCAGTCTTAGTCATAGTGCGACTAGCAAATGCCACTGGTCTGCCAGCTTGAAGTAGAACAGCTTCTAGTCCACAGATATCGCATCTGTCTTAATCGTTGCTTCTTCTTCCAAGTCGTAGTAACAGAGTAGTGAATACATCATTGTGTTCTTGTAAAATAGCATCCTCGATCAACCCTTTCACGTTAGAAACTGAGTTGACGAATAATTCTCTTTTAATAGATAGGAGTTCCAACCCCTCACGTGTTTTCCCTGATACCAGTGAACTTGGAGCATCATCAATCACTACGAATTTTGCTCTGGCTATTTTTCCTCCAATCTGGATGTCAAGGTAGACTTCACCTTTGGGAAACACACGTTCTCCATTGTATGCTTTCAAAATGGCACGAGTTTTCTTCAAGTCTGGTCGGTTTTGAATCTTTACAAAATCTTTCATTCTCAAACAATTTGCCTCTGATCCACTATCAATTTGCATGGTTACCATTGAGGTATTAAGAACGGCTGCTGTTAATGACTGAATACATGCAGTAAACTTCATCATCAGTGATTGCTGGTTCGGCTTCTTCAATTCGATGAATACTCCTCGTAGGTTTCTTGGAAACGCTCCTCACAGGTTTCTCTGTTCTCCTTTGAGATTCTTGATCTCGACCTCTGCACATCTTAGCAAAATGGTTCTTCACGTTACACTTGCTGCATTTTTTTCCGTGAGCCAGACACTCGCGCAAATTGTGGTTCGTTCCACAATATTTACATTGTTTCACCGTTTCTACTCGTTGTGTAAAATCTGGTTTCTTTCCTCTATGCTTGACAGCGTGTACTGAAGTTTCTATTTCTCCATCAATCTTTTTCAGTTGATCGCTGGCTGTTTCTGCAACTTTAATTATGTCTAAGGCTGTATTGAGAGTGAGAGCCTTCTCACGGAGTAGTCGTTTTCTGACTTCATGGCTTTTGTTTCCAATGACCAGTCTGTCTCGAATCAGTTCGTCACACAGAGCTCCATAAGCCCAGGTTGACGCTAGCTTTCGCAGTCTGTTCAGGTATTAATCAATGTTTTCATTTCCTTCAGGTTCGAACAGGTAACGCTCAAGAATAATATTGTTCTGTGGTTCGAAATGCTGCGTCATGCCTGCAAGAAACTATCAGGATCTGTGCAATCAGCTATAGGCAGATTTTTAGCTATTTGGTAAGTTTCTCTTCCCAGAACTATCTTAAGAGTTTCTAAAACGACTGGTTTGGGTTTCTTATCAAGTTCAGTTGTTATCTTATAGCTCTCCCAACTCGCCAGGATACCCCTGAGACTCATTGCAGGTGGCGTTGGTAACTGACTCTGCATCATCATCTGTGTAGGTGGCACAATAGGTTGCGTTAGAGGTGCCTCTAGAGGATTCTCTTACACCGGAGGGTCCTCTTGATCATCCATCCTGTTAGTTCTTTTGTTGTCCTCGTGAGACGTTTGCTAAGTGTATACTGGGATCTGGCCTTTCGCAGAAATTTCAAGTGAATGCAAGTCAGAGAGATATAAAAGGAAATCTGTATTTCTGAAATCAAATTTACTAAAGTGTAAATCTAGGGTTTCTATAACAAGTCCCAGTTCCTCGATGTATTAGAATGATGGATGGTTCATTCAAACCTCCAGTTTTTTCAATGGGTATACATTCTGTGCCCACATACATGGCCTGTCTATACAGCTGAATAAGCCAGGTTACAAAGTTTGTTTTTCGGAAAAAGAAAACGAAAGCCCGTCTTAAAGAAATTTTGCGCAAGACCACGGTGGTTTCCCGAACCCCACACACACTAATATCGGTCGATTTGCAGACGTATTTACAGGATAAAATATATCTTTTAAGTTCCCTTGGAACTTATTTCCTGCATGGGAGAAAGCTGCGAAATACACTAAAAGAAACTGAAACAGTAGGAGAATGTTATGCGAGATCGGGGAACCATTATTTCTCATAAGACGCCCAACCTTACGACCTTTGATGGAGGATACCTTAGACAAATCTCAGACGCTTGAAGGAGTTACACTGGAGCAAAAAACACCCTATTTGATATCCATTTGGACCATACAGGGAAGTCTCGTTGATTTATCTATTTATATTTTTGAATTTGTCGGATGTTCTGAAAAATAATGAGAGGTCGGGGAAACATGTGTAGCATCTCGAGATATTTTTATTTTTCATTTTAGTTCATTTTTCCATAAATGTTCTTGTAACGCTCCAACCATTTTTAAATACTCCGTTCCCAAGCAACAAACCACCGCCGCCGCCATTTTATCCGTCATTTCTGGCAATGAATCCAATTAATGAGGAGGAGTCAAAAATACCTTCTGACAATAGAAATGCGCAACCGATGGCAAGTTTTTAGCAAGGAAAAGAAAAATATTTAAAACACAGAAACAAAGGAACAATGAGGATGGGACACAGTCTGTTGCTAAGGTCTCCTATAATTCCATTGCTGTTGCCGCCAAAAATTCAATTGATTACAAATTCGTACTCTTCTTTCGTCACATTTCTTTCAAGCCTTTTGTTCTGCGCGCATAACTGTCATCAATATTCTTTTAATCTTTCCTGTATAATTTCCCTTTGTTTATGTCGCTTGTGTTAGTCTTCACCGCAGATTTTATTCATTCGGATCAACCGTTGAACTATTTGAACCGTCTAACTGTTTATACCGTCTCTATCGATCGCTTTACGTCACTTTACGCCGCTTTACGTCGCTTTACATCATCTTTAGTTTGGCAGTTGACCCAGATCTCGTGCAACGTTTGTAAGTGTATTTTGTTTTCCTTTATTTTTGTTTTCTCGTTTGTAAATTCCTTTACCTTGAATTGTGACAACTATAACTTGTAATCCATTTCTTGCAACCGGTTACATATTTATTACTTAACTTCGTTTCGTTTAGCCATTTTGGAAGTGAAGCTGGACATGTCTGTGACGAGCATTTTTGGCTACAACGCTGATGTACAACCTTATCAATAGGAGCTTCCTTAACAGAGACAAATATATGTTGTAAAAAGCTAGAAAAAGCCGTTGGCCATCGAGCAGTGGTCAAGTTATTCAGTAGGGCCACCTCAAAAGCTATAAAGAACAACCTCAAAGCTAACCTGGATCATTCGCCGGACCAAGACATACTCTACGTCGGCTCCAATAACCTTAAATATAAAAACTGTTGCAAGATGCTGAATCGATCGTAGACATATCGACGATTCATCCGACGCCATCTCCGCCGGCTATATTTAGGCTGTCCTGTACAAGGGATTAATTCAATGGAGTATTGGATGCGAATAAACATCTAAAGAGCTACTGCCGTCAGAATGGATGGAAACTTATCCAGCATCTAAAGATAACAGAGAATGGCCTTAACAAGGGAGGACTGCATCTTAGTAATCAAAGGTAATCAAAACATATTTAACAAATTTAACGTGCTCTCCGCAGATTTCCTGCCTGCTCAGTCTACTAAATCCAACAGTGAATCCCGTATACTGAATGAGAGCGGTAGAGAAGGTCTAACATAGGTTTGGCAGGATGCAGGATGAGGCTTAAAATCGAGGAGGGATGTGGGATACGAGATTCTTTAAAAGCGAGATACTGGATGAAGATAGGAAGGCGAGACCGGGACATACTCCGATTCGAAGGCGGGATAGGGGTTGGGACGGGTATAGGTGAGGTCATAAAAAGTATTTATTTGCTTTAGAAACGGGCTTATTCAATTTTCCCGTGTAAATTGAGGTTGACATGCCTAAATGATTCAGTAGTACGTCCAGTTTTCTCTGTATTAGCTGCAAATGTTTACACGAAACTCCATGGTATATTCGGTTTTCTCGCCCGCGTAACAATATTTCTCTCGGGAGTATGTCTGAGTGAACACTTCTTTCTATACGATATGATCAGTTCTTTGAGGATTTCTCTAAGCAATGGCTGTTGCTGTCCTAAATGCCACTTGCTTATAAGGATTTTTTGTAAGGTTTGGACATTTGGAACTGTTGGATAGTATTGTCGGTCAGCGTGGGAAGAGCTTGAACTTTTTTACAAATGATGTAGTTCTATTATTAGAATACGATGGAAACTACAATTGATAGGATTTTCATACGATAAGAAAAGCGCAAGTGTAGTCATGTGGAAAGACAAGGAGTATGAGTACATCTCAAGCGCGTGAAATAAACATCTATAAGGAGCTCACCATTCTTTGCTTGCGAAATGTCAGCCGAAAGGAATGTTGAACAATCATATTCGGTGTGGGAACGGTAATAATAACAATAACAGTAATAACAACAAAATTTATGTAGCGCCATTTCCGTTTAGCCCAATGGCGCTTTACAATAAAAAAAGAAATAGAAAAGTAAATCTAACCTGGTTGTAATGAACAAATATGTAAATACATGATTTAGTTATATCTCATTAAGCACTATTAAAAACATATAAATCTCTAGCGAGGTCCATATCTATTGCTAAGAAAAATAAAATAATAACATAAAATAATGCACAAAAAAATGTTCTATTCAGGAGAACTCGCTAGGCACTAAGGTGGATAATTTCTAATTTTAAGTACAGCTATTATCTATATCTTTTAGCAAGTTAAAAGTGGGGGCATATAAATCTCCAACGAAACAGAGTTACGCTTAGTCTTT